TGGTTTATGTGATTTAGGTAAAAAATAAAGATGAGCTAATTCTGCTTCTTCATCGTCTTCGTTCTTTACTCTTAATCTTTCATAATGGTTTTGTCTTATATGTTTATTATACCATAAACCATAAAGAAAATTATTCGTTCTTTCAATTAAATTTTCAAGTGGATTCATTTGATCCAAAACTTGATAAGCACCCGTTTTTTTCATATATACATCTGCTTTTGTTCGATAATCAGCAAGTTTACCGAGATGGAAGACTTTCGACTTATCCGTTTTCCGTATAATGGTCTTCGTCTCTTCAAATTTATGCATTAGATTATTTATTACTTCTAGGTGTTTTGATGGAGGGTGCTTATGATGACATTCCGTAAGAAGTGTAGTGATTGATTCTTCAAAGGTATGTAATCGTTCTTTCGGTATTACCCATCCACGATCTCCAAAGATTTTTCTAACCTTCTCGACTACTACATCTATCTCTTGTTTCATACGACGATGAGCTAGTCGAGGGTTATTTGGAATAAAACGAGGGCCTAGTTTTAATAAGGCCTCTTCGTTTCTACATAATTCAGTTGCTGATTGATTGATTATGCCTGGAGCACAAAATCCTTTCGTAATACTGGAGTTATATCCCGTGCTACTTGTATTACGGAGGGCGCCTCTACGGCGCTGCTTTCGGCTAAAAAAAGAACTTCTCGTTCTATTTCAAGTAAGTTTCTTTTTAGTGCCAGTTCAACATATTCTATATATAGTTGAGAACCATGACGATCATTCTGTTCTTCCTGTTGTTTTTCAGATGATGATGGTTTTTGAGTAAAAACATTTGTTTCTTTTTCATTATCATCATCATCTATCTGTGCATCGTTGGCAGAAGATCTGTTATTAATGGCTATCTGTGTCTGAGATACTTCAGCTTTATCTGCTGGAAAACCTCTAAGAAGCTCATCGAATCTTTCTTTTTGAAAGTCAGATTCTGCTTTTGTAATTCTTACATAGAGTTCTGTCGCTCCGAGGCGAAAATCTCTTGATAGTTTTACTATAGCTTCTTTATGAGCTTTAGTTTGTTCACTTGATAGTGAACTCTTATCAATAGGAATGGTTATATCACATTTAGGTATAATTTTTGGTATTACATCATACGTTAAGTGTGCAGAAATTACTTCAAATTTCTTATTCTTTTTTTGATAAGATTTTAATACTGGTTTACAAAATGTTGTGGCATATGTTTTTTGTTGCTCTGTAGCAACATTTTCAAATGCCTTTAAAGCATCCCATTCTTCTTTTTCAAGAGTAGCTCGTCGTACACGATTAGTGCTCGTTTTTGCCAAGCTTTGGGTTGCTTCTTTAATATAATCTAACATTAGATCATGTATCTTTTGTGCTACAGTGGCATTTAATATCTTTTTCATGTGTTGCTCAATAATATTATTTGCATCTACACATGCTGATGTGAATTTTTCGATCCTTTTTTCACATAAGACAAGATTTTCTTTAGCCTCCCGTGTATGTGTTATATCGACAATTTCTTTTGCCCAATGATCTTTTTGTTTTCCAAGCTTATAAAAGCGTTGCCAAACTTGGACTTCATAATGATTGTAGACCCATGTATCATATGTTTCAATGGTATTTTTCGCATAGGTACAAATTTCATTATTTAAATCAATTTTCAGTGAACGACATTTACTCAACCGATCTTTAAGAAAAGCAAAGATTTTGAAATCTTGTAAGTAGATTTTTATCTTATGTTTATCTTTAGATTTAGTCGGTAATTGTTCATTTTCTTTCGATTCTTCGAAATCATCATCTATTTCGGATTCAGGTGTATTTCGAGTCTTCGTTTGACGAAGTCGATTTCGATTATCACCTATATGTTCTCTATTAGTAAGAACTTCTATGGTGGTATTTTTCATCTTATTATCTTTTGTTTGATGTTGTTTAGATTTTTGTTTATTATTATTATTATTATTATTCATGGTTGGTGTTTGGTTAGCAACCTCTGAATCACTTCTTCCATCTGTATCTGTATCTATATCTGTATTTGATAATATAGAAAATCGATTATCACTTAAACGACCTAGATCATTACTCTGGTCTCGATATGCTACACGATTCTTTTGACGCCTCTGTCTTCGCAGAAGAGTGTCACGATGTGCTTTCTCAGGTGATTTTTTCGATTTTTTCTGTTGTTGATTCTTATTATCGGGCAATTTTACTGTTTGCCTACGATCGTTATTCTTTTGCTGCTGATTAGTTGGCTGTTTCCAACCATTAGGCATGAAATGTGCAAGTCGACGATCTGTCGGTGATGATGATTTAGTCGATTTCACATTACCACGTGATGAAGGTGGTGTTTTTGACTTATTATATTTTCGTTTACGATTACGATATGGTGTATATGTCTGACCATAATTATTATTATCCATTCCATAAGGAACATTATGTGAATATGGATAATAGAATGGTGGTGGTGGTGATGATACGGGCATTATCTGCCCATTACCAAAACCTCCCATGCCACTGGTTTGCCAATATGATTGATCATAGTATGGTTGTGGAAAACTATGATTGTATACATTATCAGGTAAGTTGTGATGTTGTTGTTGTTGCTGATAATGATATGGCATCATGTTGATACTGATGGTATCTTACTCTCTTTAGAATTAAGAAGAAGAAGAGGAAACTACTCTCGAACTAATTTAAGATCTTTCGACTCGTTAAACTAGTTAGCGATAAAAATAATCTCAAAAATACTATTCGAAATAAAAAGGCAGAAAGAGTAGAAGCTAATTTCTCACTGATGAAACTAACTTAAAATTCTTGTTCTCAAAAAGAAGAAGAAGATACTCGCTCAAAAAATTAATTAAAATGAAAGGAAATAATTAATTAATTTTAATAATGATAATAATAATGATGAGAATGATGAGAAGAAGAAGATGATAATAAGGAAGAAAAGATGTTGTTTTTTGTTTTTGTGTAATTTATTGACCGGTTCCTATTAAGTTTTGACTTAACGTCTTCAGAATCTAGAAGATAAAAATAAATTTTTAAAATTTTGTTTAAAACGGACGACTCAAGCAGAAATTTAGAAGAACCAGATGGCTAGAAGAGCCACTCTGGTATTTGGTGGATGGCCGAATGGGCCTCTCGCCTCACGAAACAGAAGAAGGAAACTAGAGGGCCAGAAGGGCCACTGCTAGTCAATCGACTGAGACTTGACATTGGCCTTAAGGGCCGCATGTCCTTATAAGGATTCATCGTCCGAGAGGTTGAGAGTGGCCATTTTCGATGCTTCTTGACAGTTGTGATTACTGCCCATATTGCTATTGTAGACGATGATGGTGCGTTGAGGTGGGTAGGTGGCTGAGTTGATGGCCTCTCCATCATTCCACTGTTGCTTATTGTCTTCCATCACCACTGATTCTGATGATGATGTTGGTGGTGTTATTGTTGTTGGTGGTGATGGTGGAGACGTCGTGGGATGATGGAGTTCATGGGCGCGTTCTCGTCTCTCTCTTCGGGCAACAGTCCGCCTTTTCCCGGTACCGACTGCACCTGGTTCTGCACGAACCAGAGGATTGTGCCGGTGCAATCTGATCGTTTCCGCTCTCCTCATCACACTGGCATGCGTACTTCTGGGTCGACGAATGTTCCCATTCTCTCCAGAAGCATTACGACCAGTGTGATGGAATCCATAACCGATGGGTCTCACCGCCTGTCTTCCGTCTCTCAATAGGTAGTCCATGAGACTACCTCTACCACCCTCAACTCCTTGTGGCCTATTGGCAACAAAGAATTCTCCATTTGGTATCCACATGGCTTCTCCCGTCCTCTCACACACATACAGGCAGTAAGACCCATCATTGTTCGAGTGGTTCATACTGGCCCGTCTCCAGATTGTTGATGGCGGACCACCAACACGAGGACCAGATAAACCAGCTCGAACTGCTTCTGGTGAGAAGGTTCCAGAGAAGGAGGTTAGGGCTCGAAAGACCACATCACCCACATCTCTGCCATTACCTCCCGCCATTGTCGGATTCGTTGAAGTATTAGACATCTGAAAAACCCAAATCTGGCTAGTTCGATGAAAACACAAAATAAATGTCCAACTCAATGCTGGATATCACAGAGGAATCATCATTATACATATAAGATCGGCTCATCTCCTAGAACGAGGCTTGATATTACTACCATATTCTGTATACCAGAACGATCTTATACCAACAGTCAAAAAATCGTAAGTTTATATACCCATTCAAAAAACAGATCATTGGTCTGTTATGAAATCTCAAAATCCATCAATCACAAATCATCTCTTAACCAGCTAATCATATTCGTTTCTTTTCCCAGCTAATGAAAAAATAACATATACTACACAAATCAATATCATAGTTCATCTCAATATTCCAACATCTCTCCATCATACTAGATGGTTGCATTGATCAACGATGCACTATGCACTATACCGTGAGTTCGAATCTCACATCTAGTAAACTTGTTTGTTCAACTTTTTTTCTTTCCATTTTCCTTCAGTATACGCATATACATATATAACCTTTTTCTTTCCTCCCTTCCATCTCGGTAAACTTGCTGATTATCGAACGAAAGCAGATGTATATATGAAAAAAACGGGTGCTTATCAAGATTTGGATCAAATGAATCCACTTGAAAATTAAATTGAAAGAACGAATAGTTTTCTTTCTGGTTTATGGTATAATAAACATATAAGACAAAACCATTATGAAAGATTAAGAGTAAAGAACGAAGACGATGAAGAAGCAGAATTAGCTCATCTTTATTTTTTACCTAAATCACATAAACCAAATACACCATTAAGGCCTATCATGGCAGGTTTGAAATCTCCAACCATACGCATATCAAAATGGTTAGATAGTCTTTTAAGACCACTTTTTGATAAAGTAGNTGGTTTATGGTATAATAAACATATAAGACAAAACCATTATGAAAGATTAAGAGTAAAGAACGAAGACGATGAAGAAGCAGAATTAGCTCATCTTTATTTTTTACCTAAATCACATAAACCAAATACACCATTAAGGCCTATCATGGCAGGTTTGAAATCTCCAACCATACGCATATCAAAATGGTTAGATAGTCTTTTAAGACCACTTTTTGATAAAGTAGCAAGTGATACGACAGTATCAAATGGACTGGAATTATTAAAACATATTGAGAGATGGTCAGGTAGTTACATGACAACAACCACATCATTTATTACAATGGATGTAACTGATCTCTATACGATGATACCACAAGAAGGAGGAGTTACAGCCATTAAACGTCTAATAGAAACTAGTAGATTAGAACAAATCGATGGTATTAAAAAAGAAATTATTCTTGCTCTTACCAGATTTGTTATGAATAATAACTATTTCTATTTGGATGGGTCATATTATAAACAGATAAAAGGTGGAGCAATGGGCTCCCCTCTGACGTTAACAATAGCTAATGCATATATGTACTTTGTCGAAAGACCCATAGCGAAATGGGCCAAGAGAACATGCTCATTATATTTTCGGTATATTGATGATTTGTTCATAATGACAAATGTACATAGAGATACATTGAATGGTCTGGTACAATTCTGGAATAGACTAGATAATAATATTGAATTATCAGAATCTATTGGATTTACCGCCGAGTATCTAGACGTAAAAATTGAAAATAGAGGAGGAAAATTAGTATCCGATGTGTTTCATAAACTTTCGCATGAACCGTATTTTCTCCCTTTTACAAGTATACACGCACGACACATAAAAAGAAATATTCCTTTTATATCTCTTATACGTGCAATAAGGTATTGTTCAGATTATGATGCATTTAAACGTGAGGAGACTCATATTTGTGTATCTTTGTTACTGAATAAATATCCTTTACATTTTATATTAAAACAATTTGAAAGAGTCTTCAAGACATTTCAATGTTCAATTCCTACATCAAAAAATTTCTTGACTATAAGAAAGTTTTTTCTTGATAATGAAGGTAAAAAAACAACAAAGAAGGCTAGAATTAATTTCGAAAATACTTTCTTATGCCATTTTACATTTTGCAAAGGTATGGAGAACTTTTCGACTCAATTCAATCAAATCTGGGAAAATTGCTTTTCAGACACAGCCATTTGTAACATAAGACCGATCGTGGGCACTAAGAAACTACATAATCTTCAAGAATATCTAGTTAAAAAGAAGCCAGATCAATCACTATTGAAAATTACGAATTAATCCTCATAAATTAATTTGTGTAAATAAATCTCTTCGTTCTTGTGGTTCATAGAATGAACCAGAACGTAATTAATAATACTCAATTATTTGATGAGTATCACGCATCAGCATCAACAACCACCACAATAACTTCGAACAAAATACAAGATTCCTGGGCTCTTACAGCCCGGAATCATTATCATACATACACCTATATCTTTGTTATTTTGTTAATTTGTTAGTTTTTTGTAATTTTGTATTTTTCTGATGAAGTCAGATTATAACCTGACAGAAACCGGTCAATAAATTACACAAAAACAAAAAACAACATCTTTTCTTCCTTATTATCATCTTCTTCTTCTCATCATTCTCATCATTATTATTATCATTATTAAAATTAATTAATTAATTCCTTTCATTTTAATTAATTTTTTGAGCGAGTATCTTCTTCTTCTTTTTGAGAACAAGAATTTTAAGTTAGTTTCATCAGTGAGAAATTAGCTTCTACTCTTTCTGCCTTTTTATTTCGAATAATAAATAGCACGAAACGCGTCGGCGAAATCAAACTCTCTGCATTTCTCTTATTAATTACTTTTCACAAGCACATCAATTAAACTTACATATCTGTTGATACTTGGTCGATTGCTGAAAAGCAAAAGTTGAGACTAGCAAATTGGCTTGTATCCAAAAGAATATAAGTTAATTTGTTTTTTCAATTTACACCCTCAAGAATCTGGATATATATGAACGTCAGTCACCTCGTCGATTAAACCAATCATTG